GCAAGGACCTCTGGAGGTCTTTGGTTCAACCCCCTCAATCAGCTTTGGGGCTAAGTCAGGCTGTGCAGAGCCTCAGCCGGGTAAGATTCGAAGCTCTCCAAGGATGGAGATCCCACCACCTCCCCAGGCCCCAGGTGTTACCACCCTACCCAAAGAATTACTCTCTTTATACCCAAATAGCATTTTTCCCCTTGCAACTTGTTGCTTTTCATCCTTTTGCCGTGCATCTCCACATCTCTTTAACCACCTGGGTCCTGTCAGGGCCACGAGTAGCTCCTTCAGCTTCAAACTCTTCCTCATTTGGCTGGATGACACTGGCAGGCGCGTGGTTTTTTTGAAAGCAAAGCCATTGACACCTGTAGTGATAGTGACATTGCAGGGTGCAAAATGCATTCATGTTGCTTCTGGCTTGCTCTACCTGCAGCCCAGCCCAGCTGAGCAGCACCAGCCAAGGCTTCCTCCGCCTCAGTTAACAGAGGGGAAGAAAACCACCGCGTTTCTGTTGAGGTACAAGTTCAAGTTGCCTCAAAAAAATCTCAAGTTTCCTCTGAAACTTCAGCCCAAAACTGCAAATCAATTGGGAAAATTAAAATCGATCCTTGTGAAAATGAGAACCTTCTGTGCACGTTCTCAGCAGAAGTTAGATGTCCAAAAAAATCAAGGTTGACAGTTGTAAATGCGCTTGGGGAGGGCATGAGCGCGTCTGGAGCTGCTCGGCGTGGTCTCCTGGGCTTCGGCCAGGTGGGCTTTGTACCTGCAGTTGGTGGCAACCTGGACTATCTCCCCTGCGGTGGAGCTGGGACCTTTCAGCATGGGCAGCTGTCTTCTGGCTGGTCAGGAGCTGATGGGTACCCTTGCTCGTCTAGGTAGCCAGGAAGGATCAGCCCTTGGTGAAGTCCTTGCTGCATGTCTCTTGGGTGCTCCGCTGGGTTGTCCAGCATCCCCATCACGGTGGCCATGGGGCTGTGTCCTCGCTGGTGCTGTGCACAGAAGACCCAACTCTCTTGGATGTCTCCAGCACTCCCATCCCCAGGGGTTGCGTTGCAGAGCCCTCACTGAGCTGACTGACCTCAAGGAGGAGAGCAAACGCTCTGCCATTAAAAAAAAAAAAAAATGGCATTTTTGGATTTTTCTCCGTAAAATAGCTTAGGTGGAAGGGGGCCTCTGGAGGTCAACCTCAGCTCAGAGTGGGGCCAGCTTTCAAGTTAGCCCCACCTTCAGAAGCTTTTCCTTATTTTTCCTTCAATAAATAAAGAACCTGGGGCACAGGGTGCTTCTGCTGCTCTCACCAGGCACCAGAGAGAGCCAAGGAAGGGGTTACGTCCCTGCCCGTCCTCTTGCTGATTTGCATCTCCTGGTAATTTTGCATTTATTTCCAAAAAGCCCCGTGCCTTCACTGGTGGGGAACAGAAGCACTTCTTCAACTGATGCTTGTTTATAGACCATGATTCTGTTGCGACAAGTGCCGGAGGGACCAGAGATGGGAATAAACTGAATATTATAACCCTGCAAACTGCAGGCTGAGCCGGCAGTTGTAGAGCTGAACCACCCGGGCTGCGGGATCAGGATTTCCAGGCAGAGTGAGCAAGAGGCAGGGTGGCCTCGCACAAGGTTTGCCTAAAACGTGGGGAGGTTGGAGCACCTTCCTTCTCTTTCCTAAGTACGAATGGATTTGAGGAATGGGTTTTAAAAGCCAGACGCAGATTGCCATGAGGAACTGTTTTGCATGTAGGGGTTAAAGAAAATGCCCAGCTATGCTGTAATGAAAAGCGAAAGGCGGAGGTGGTGGTGGAGAGGATTTAAACGAACTTAAGTGGAAACAAATTACAAAAATCACACTAATGGCAGTAAAGTCAGTGAAATGACATCCTGGCATAAAAGGCAGAACGAAACTCATTAAATATTTAATGCTCGTAAGAGGCACTGGCACGTCTGAAGGTATTAAGTGCGATAAAGATGTAAGTAGTTGTCATCATCTGCTTCAGCATCTGGTCAGGATAAACCTGTTTGTTCCCCTACTGTCCCACTGCAGCCAGCAGCGGTCTGGCCTCGGGGGTGTCACGCTGGCCCCTGGGTTACCCGTGGCCTCAGGGACATCACCCTGGCTCGCAGATGGGGGCTCGTAGCATGGCTTGCCCTGGCACAGGGACTGCCACTGCCTCCCCGCTGCATCCAGCTCCTGGCTGGGGGCCAGGTTTTTTGGAGGGAATGAAAACCAACCTCAGGGAAAAGGGAATTTATAGCAGAGACCCGATTTGTACCAAAATTGTGTGACCTGGGAGCTGCATGCCAGTGAGTGCAGCTTTTGGGTCATTGCCATCCGTACAGCTCTGAATCCCCATGGGATGCTCATCCCACGGTCCCTGGCTGAGATCTCCCGTCTTGTTGCATAGCCCCAGGATTTCATCCGTGCTTTTGGGGTGGAATAAGAGAAGTTAGGATGTCTCCAGCTGCTGGGATGAGAGGGCTGGAGGCAGGGCAACCACTCCGGGACTTGGCAGGGTGGCGCGGCTGGCACGGTGTTTTCCCGCAGATATGGGACATTTCAGCTCTGTACAAGAAAAAAAACAAGGGCAAAAACTTGTAAAAGAGGAACGTGGGGCTTCCCCGAGCTGAAGGGAGCCTTTCCCAGCTTGCCTTTTCTCCCGGGCTGCGCTTACTGCTGGGGAGGGACTCTAGGCTGGGCCATGTGTTACACCTCCTTGGGGAGGGGTAGTTGGTTTGCTTGGTGCTATTTTTTTCTTTGGACCCCTCCTGCTGCCATCCCTGGCTGCAGGCTGAGCCTTTCATACCCTGCTCTTCCCAGGAGCATCCCAGGGGCTAGCAGGGATCACATTCACCTCTCCTTACCGGGGCTGTTCTTGCTGCCGGGGTGAAGCCGGAGCATCGGGTGGGGAAAGGCAGCAGGATGAGGCACAGCTCTCCTGGCTCCGCCGCAGCTGCTGAGCTCATTTTTAGCTCATGATTTCAGCGCGGGAGCTGGTGGAAGGCAGTTTGCAAAGATGCATTTTTATGAGTGAAAAAATTCATAAAAATGTTTTCCGGGCTCTGTTGGGCCGGTGCCGTGTCCGGCCACCAGCGCTGGTTGCCACGGCGGTGGTGCTGGGGTTCGTGCCAGCATCCTGCATCCCTGAACCCTGGCTTTGCCAGGGAGCTTTGTGTGAGCAAGTGATTTGTGGTGCGGGGCACAGCTGCACCGATGCACGAAGGGATGCTGCCAGCACTGAAATGGGGGGAAACCACAGGAAAAAAATCTTTTTTTGTTGTTTGTTTTTTTTTGTTTGTTTTTAAAAGAAAACCCTCTCTTCTTGCAGATCGGGAGCTTGGAAAACTACTACCACTTTCACCACAGCAAGACATTTAAGCGCTCGACGCTGAGCAGCCGGGGACCACACAACTTTCTCCGCATGGACCCCAAGGTATGGGGCTGGGCAGCCCGGCGTCCCTCTGTGGGGGCCAGTGGGATGGGGGTCTCTGCTTCCCAACCCCCCCTGGAGGAGCCCGTTGGCTTGGTCTGGGTCAAGCGTGAGCCCAAGCATCTTGTGATGACATGTTGCCCTTGAGCTGCAGCCGTGTGCACGCGTGGGGTGACTCATTGGACATGGGTATGGTGGTCGGTGATGAAAAATGCTTAGAAGTGACTAAACGCTAACATCTGCCTGAAAGCCGGGAGGAAGAAAAGGGGAGGAAAAAAGCCTTCCAGGATAGAAAGGCTGTTGCATGCTCGGGGTGTTGATCCAGTTGCCACAACACTCGCTGCCTCAATGGTTGCTATGTGTGAAATCTTTGGCAATAGCTCTGCATTGCTTTTTCCTAGAGCAAGCATCCGAAGGGATTTTCAGCGCAGCTGAATTGACAAAAGTGATGGGGAGGAGGGGGGAAGGCGGCAGGGAGGGACAGGCGGGACATGGGGGTGCTGGGCTTGGGGTGGTGGGGAAGGGCTGTGGCTCTGCCTCGGTTTTCCTCCTCTCTCAGCTCCACCTGGCGCCCAAACCTTGTGAGATGCTACTGCTGCAAGGCAAGGGAAGGACTAATGTGGGGGAAGGATCTGGTTTTTGAGGAGAGGGGGACATAAATGCAGAAAAAGCCATTGCAATGAAGGTGCCCGTGCTGCAGCAAGCTGCTGGTGCTTCCACCGCTGACCAGCCACCCTTGGGGTGCTCCTGACCACCCTCGGGGTGCTCTTTCCATCCCATTCAGCACAACATCCCATCTGCATCTCTCCAGACCCACACGGCAGCCCTGCTTTCCCCAGCCAGCCAGCTTTCCGGAGAGATTTGCTGTTAAATATTTGGACAGGGTCTGTAGCACATTTCTGAGGAGGCACACGCGTGGCTGCGTTTCTGGCGGGCGAAACCTCAGCGAGGGGAGTGTGGGTGTCCTGGAAGTGTGCTTGGCTCTAATTAAAGCTGTTTGCCCTCGGGGAGGTGCACAGGCATCCCAGCAAATGCTGCATTCAGCTTTGCAATTGAAATACCTCAATTTAAATGAGTCTAGTTATAATGCAAACCAAATCGATGGGCTTTTACTCTTATTAACATTTACCTTACCTTGCTCTATGGGCGGCATGCTAGAGCAATTAGCTCCCGTTCTCTTAATCCTTCGTTATCACTTGGAGTTCAAGGCTTCTGGCATGTGCTGTCTCTCCCCCTCTCCCATGCGCATTTGCAAGTCGTTTTGGAGATGTCTCTTCACGGATGGCACCGGCTGGCTGGCGCAGGAAAACATCACCTCGAGGCATGAGGAAATGCGAGCTGGAATAGCGAATGTGGAAACAAATCTTGCAGAAATCCCGAAGAACCAGCAAATCCAATCATTTGCAGATGTTGGGTGGTTCGTGCCTTCCAGGGGCTATTGTTTCCAGCATCATTATTTATCGGTTTGCTCTGCTGCAGGGGTCAGTGGCATGAAGGTCAGGTCCTGGGAAGAGGAGGATGGCCAAGCCCTCCATCCTGAGGATGTGGGTGGCTGGGGAAGGGTGAGACCCTGCAAACACAGGGCAGCACCCAGGGTCCTGGTCCCTGTGGGACCACGCTGCTGCTGAGATCCCCTCTTGCTCCAAGAGACCCCATGGCTGCTCCATTTGGGGCTGGTATGAGCCAAGCAACACGGCAGGTGGCGGAAAGGGAGGAGGGACGTAGCCAATCCAGCAATTTTGGGGGCAGGTTGTGGTGGCAAGAGTGAGAGACGTGGGGGTGCGATGGGCTGCAGAGCGGGGTCATGTCATGCTGTGCCACCCCTCGTACGGGCTCAACTTCAGCTCTCATCGCCATAAACTTTCCTCGCTCTCTGGGATGCTCCTGTTGGTCCTTGCAGTGCTTGAGCCTTCAGCCTTGCTGCTCCCATCCCTTAATCCTCATCGGAGGATGTCACAGCCTCGGTCTCTGTGCCTCTGGCCATGCACCACAGCAAAATCAACCCCACCTAAATTATTTCTGCCGTGCTTTGTGGCAAATGTGTGCTGGAGGCATCTTGTTTGTCCTGGATCTCTGCTTAAAATCCTCTGCATCCACTGGAATAAGTCAGGCTATTGCTTTTCTGGAGCCGCAAAGGGATTTGCATCCTTGCCTTCGCTGGTTGTGCTTGGAGCTACCCTGAGTGGCTGGATCTGGGCCTCACCCACTGAAAATACCGAAGTAAAGGGGAAAATGAACAGCGGCCACTCTGTCTCCAGCAAGGGCGAAGGGTTCGATGGTACCTGTGCCTCCTCCTGGGGTCCTCTGGTGCCACTCAGCGTTGCCTTATTATTGCTAATTCGGGGTTGCAGGGATGCAGCCAGGACCCCCCAGGCTCAGGACTGTGTTGTAACAGTTTTGGCCATTTCTAGTAGCAAAAAGTCTTTTTTTGTCTTTTTTTTTTTTTTAATTTCCAAGCAGAGCTTTTCCCCCACCCTGGAGGAGTGATGGAAGTCGATCCAAGTTTCACAAGCTGCGGGAGCCGTTGCAGGGATGCCCCAGGCTCCTTGTTGCTCGCCCGTTGTCTTCCCACACCAGCCACAACCATTTAGCGAACCCCCCTTGAAGTCAATGCCGTTAAACTGCTGATTTCTCTGTGTCCACACCAGACTTCCCCATCGACTCCCGGCCGGCGGGGCTGGGGCCGATCAGGAGCGTGTTTAAGATGAAGGCGTCCCCGCGAGGCACCACAGCTCCT